ACACCAGGTTGCTGGGTGAAATGTAAAATGGTCTTGCAGGTTCACTGTGACCCCACTCCTCAGACCCTTCACTGCAACTGGGCAGAAGTTTTGCTCACCTCTCCTGCCGAGTCTGCTCCTCCGTGGTTTCCATGGCACACTCCAGGGAGCTCTGGAGGGAATGAAGCTGGTTCACTGTTTCCTTCAAAAGAAAGCGAGTCACAAACTGCTCCAAATTAGAAGCTTCCTGATAGTCCTAAAAATTACATAAAAAGAAAAAAAAAGGTAAGAATTTGCCTACTAGGTTAGAAATATGTGAGAGAAGATTCAGACTTAATTCAGAAAGGAAGCAGTTCGGATATTTTTGTGCTTATACACACAAACCACATAAGCAAACTTTATTGTTCTGGACAAAAAGACCTCTGAATTTCCAAGTATAGACACTGATCCCACCCAGGCTGAGAGAGGCCTAGGTACACAGTGGCACAATGTACATTCTATGGAAAAAACCCTTTTCCTTACATTTCTTGATTTTGGTTAATGGCAGTGTCACGTAATTTCTTAAGTATGGAAAAGCCAAGATATGATTGATAGCTGCAGAAGTTAATTAAAAATTTTTATTCAGATCCACTCTTGTGAAAAGACGTTTATCTAGCCCACTGGCCTGTCTCTGACAGTGATTATGGGAATAGTCTTTAAGCAGGAGATGTGCGATACTTCCCTGGAAAACTCCACCAGCAGTTTGGCTGACGGACTGCCTGTGCCAGAGAGATTGCCTTCTGAATTCAACAGTCTTTGACTGACTTTTGTTCCTTTAATTTGTTTAATTACTTTTGAAACCATATATATATTTATTTCATAATTACATGAAATGCATTTAAATGTTCTTCGAATTGGAGCTTGGTTATTAGAAAAGTTTGCACCTATATTTAGCAGTCTGTAATGGTTCTTTGTGTAACAACATTTCCAATATATTTTATGTGTTCAAAAATATTTATGCCTATTTTGTGTAGATAATTTCAGCAATAAATCCTTACACTTGCTCTCTCCCTGGCACAACGAATTGTATCTCCATGGATGGGGGCAAATTTAATATTTCTGGCAAGCTCAGATCTGCAAAACCCAGTTCTGCAGTGACATGCAGGTAATGCTGTGTGAGGGGAGGTGTCACCTGTACAATAATATAAACACCCTCTTTGTTGTTTTCTCATTAATAAATGTGATAGAGAGGATAAAGCAGACCCCTAGAGCCTCTGCTTACTGTGTAGAGCTCCCATCAGGAACAAAGAAGGAAAATGGACTTCCATCTCTTAAAGTCTGAATTAATTTGTTGGCTCCTATTCTGATGAAACTATGCTAATATTCATTTCTTGTGTGACCTAAGTCTTATGTGTGCAGAAAACCCACTCAGCTGATCTTGAAAGCCTTTGGGTACAATTCCATGTAAATGGCTTCATAAAATATTGAATGAAAGATTTCTGTAGTCACCACACCTGAAGATAGATGATGGTCTGTTCTCTCTAAACTTTAAAGAAAACTTGTCATTTAAATGGTGTTTCCTCCTACTCTAGCTGAGAAACCATTTGAGTATTTTTGGCAATGCATATGGGTATTTTTAAGCTCTTCTCTGTTCTTCCCAATGTGATTTACAGCTGAAATGCCATCTTGACTTTTAGACTTTTCTTAGAATTTTTGCATGTATGTGTTTACAATCAGAACACAAATACGGGATGCTTTGAAATTTAAATGTAAAATACAAGATTGTAAGATGATAGCTTTAAAAACATTTTGCTCTCAAATGAGAGCACTCTATTCACTGTATGTGTTACTAAGTTATTTCTTGTTGGAAGACTTCTGCTACAGAAATCTCAGATGAAAAACCACCCATGAATCATCAGAAATTCCTTATGTAGCCAGGACCTTCATCATGTTCTAAATTTACTTCTGTCTTCAGATTAATCAGGTGTGAGCCAATCCCCAACATATAATTTCTTATTTATACATTTTTAAAATAGATACTCATGGGACATTGTCTGTCTACCTTTTCAGTGAATACCTGAGACTCACACCAGTCCTATAAATAACGTTTATGGCAACCTTTAAGATTACTAAATCTTACTATGAAATAGGAAGGCTGATTTTTGTTTTCTTCTAAATTGTCTCCATTGTAACTGATTTAAAGCTTCTGCTGCTCCTGACATAGATTATTTCATTTCCAAAAGTTTTGATTCTCTGTGGCACGTTAGAACAATGTGGGCGAATCTCTATAGCATGGCCACCTAAACAAAACCCTCCAGTAGAAATCCAGGGTATGTTTCAATTTTTCAGCTTTCACCAGTGCTCTTGGAAATAAGTGGACAAAACATGACAGAACTGACCATTTCTTACAAGTTTTTTAATACCAAAGCAATCTCACAAGAAGAGGATAATCAAAATGCTTTAAAATTCCAGGTATCCAAAAAGTAAATGCTACAGATACCTCTCCATATAGCTTCCTGCTCATAGGTAGGTAAATCTGATACCAGCATGCTGAATTACAACTTAAAATGTGCACCAATACTTCTCATTTTGCAAACTGTTCAGGTGGGCCCTTGCTGATGGGGGGATCATATAAACATTAGCTGTGTAATACTTGCTTCTGCCTGAGGCTGGCTGCTTTTTGACTCCTTCTGAAATGCTTTCCTGCATCTAGAGGTTATTAAGTTGTTTTTTTTTTTTTTATCAGAACTACTCCAGGTTTGTGCACTGCACCAGGATTTAGTCTTTTTTGTTCCTGTTCTGTTGTCCCATAAGTTCTATATTTAAAGACTTCCCCATAGAAAGGGTCCTTCTGATCTTTAAATATGGCTTAGAGTTACCTTATCAGGTACACAGAGCTTTTTTTGTAAAGACGGCTAGGCAGGCAGGATGGTACCAACTGTGGGAGTCTAGAATTATCAAAGACTCTTTCCTTATGTGTATTTTACCTAAATGTTGGTGTTTACAACTCCTCTATGCAGAATTACTTAACCCTCTTAATGCACCCAGTTGGGCAAATGGCTACTCAATATTTTTCTTTAAATAGCTGCTCTGAGGCCATCAATTCTGAGCTCAGAGCAATGTTAGGCAACTTCAACTCCTGCTCACTGAAAGATAACTACTCCTACCCATTCTAAAATTCTTGAAAGATCATGGAAGAATGTATTCAGCATATATAAATTGTCAGCATTATTATAAACTAAGTTAGGGAGGGAAAAAGATTGTCCATTACAATTCAACTTAAACCTCAACTCCAGCTCTAATCAATGAGGAATTACCAGACATGCTTTGCTATTGTTTCACCACTCTACTTCCTACAGAAAAATGCCTTCACAGAATCACAGAATCACAGAATGGTAGGAGTTGGAAGGGACCTCTGGAGATCATCTAGTCCAACCCCCCTTCTAAAACAGGTTCACCTACAGCAGGTTGCACAGGACCGCATCCAGGTGGGTTTTGGATATCTGCAGGGAAGGAGACTCCACACCCTCCCTGTGCAGCCTGTTCCAGTGCTCTGGCATCCTCAGAGTAAATAAGTTTTTCCTCATGTTGAGGCGGAACCTTCTGTGCTCCAGTTTGTGCCCGTTGCCTCTTGTCCTGTCACTGGAAACCACTGAAAAGAGCCTGGCCCCATCCTCTTGACACCCACCCTTTAGATATTTATGAGTGTTGATAAGGTCCCCTCTCATCTTCTCTTCTTGAGGCTAAAGAGCCCCAGGTCTCTCAGCCTTTCCTCATAGGAGAGATGCTCCAGCCCCCTAATCATCTTAGTAGCCCTCTGCTGGACTCTCTCCAGTAGTTCCCTGTCCCTCTTGAACTGGGGGGCCCAGAACTGAATACAGTACTCCAGGTGTGGCCTCACCAGGGCAGACTGGAGTGGGAGGATGACTTCCCTCGACTTGTTGGCCACACTCTTCTTAACATACCCCAGGATACCATTGGCCTTCTTGGCCACAAAGGCACATTGCTGGCTCATGGTCAACTTGTTGTCTACCAGAACTCCCAGGTCCTTCTCCGCAGAGCTGCTCTCCAGCAGGTTGACCCCCAGCCTGTACTGGTGCACGGGGTTATCCCTCCCCAAGTGCAGAACACTACACTTGCCCTTCTTGAACCTCATTAGGTTCCTCTCTGCCCAGCTCTCCAGCCTGTCCAGGTCTCGCTGAACGGCAGCACAGCCTTCTGGCGTGTCAGCCACTCCTCCCAGCTTGGTATCATCAGCAAACTTGCTGAAGGTGCACTCTGTCCCTTCATCCAGGTCGTTTATGAATATGTTGAATAAGACGACCCAGCACTGACCCCTGGGGAACACTGCTAGTTACAGGCCTCCAACTGGACTCTCTTCATTTGCATTTTACTAAAGGCACATTGGTACAAGATTTCACTAGAAGAAAGAAAACATTAATTCTGAGTTAAAAAAAAAGGTGTATCAATTTATTAAGTATATATTCTGGTAGAATCAGCTTAACTGGCATGCCCGGCATTTGTACTGTCAGTATACTGCACTACCAGTTAATAATGGGACTCAATGATGGCATCTGTACATAAACTGGAAAAATGGCCTGCTTCTTGAATTTTATTAGCTGTAAATTACCCTTCATTAGCATATACATTATACTGCAAAGCAGTTTGGGCACTCCAGATGAAATTAGTCTGTGTTAACATATTGTTGTGCTTTTTAGTTTTACTGATTGTGAGTGAATGAGGGTAATTTTCCACATCTTCCTCATCAAGAGACAACTGTGACCTTTGTGAGCAGCTAAAATTTGAGTTTCCATTAAAGCAACTGAAAATGCACATAATTAGCCATTATTAGTGCGGTAAAGGTCACCGTGGCCTTTAAAACTGGCTTATGGCTATCTTAAAAGGTGAGGAAGAGGTTCTCTTTTTACAAAGGTGGAGGAGGCAGGGCTTAGGTATCTCCTAAGGGAGTCCACATCTCAGGGCTACCACAAGTTCAGCAGCTCTCTTGATCCTCTTGAGCCTGATGCCAGCCCAAATCCTCTCCCTTTGGGTGACCTGACACCATTCTAATCCAATTATCAGAAGGGCAGCTCCTTGAGATGGGGAAGGAGGGCGATACCTCTGCTTACTTGGGGCAAGCAAATGAAACTTGGTTGGGACAGAAAATAACTCAAATCTCTCAGAAGCAGTGGGAGCTCAGGCAAGAGCTCCACAAACTTAGTGGGAAAGGATATCTAGCTGTCATCTAGTCCATCCCCCTGTTCAGAGCAGGGCCAA